TATCATGTATACTGGACCCAACTATGCCGCGACCCCACTGTGCTGGGTTTTTTTTTAACTATTGAAAATGTTCCAGAAATACTGACACTTTTTTATATATATAATATATATGTTTAAGATATTATCTTAAATTAAAGCTTATATAATATAATTTAATTAAAAAATAAAAAATTTCTTGAGCTAATAATAAAATTTTGAATTAGCTTAAATGGCCTTTTTTGTCTATCAATAAATGTGATGTAGGATTGCCGGGGCAAACAGAATAAATTTGTTTTATATAAAAATTTTATTTTTTATTGATATATATACAACTCTAAACTCATTTATATAATTAATTATAAAAAGGAACGGTAGCATAGTTGGGGTCGCAGCAGTTGGGATAAGTATAGATCGGTGTCGGTGAATTGATTCCCAAGACGTATTTTATGTATTGATTCTCGGGGCAAATTTAAACATGTACTAGTTGAAAAATCTAATTGCAGATTTGAAATCGGCGAAAAGATGGCTTTAAAAAAGTGTATTCTGGTCTTAGATGAAAAATCCTTATAGACCAATGTATTTCTTCATAATTAACAAAAAATTATTTTCAAAAAAGTTGTGCATTAACATTTATCAGCAATATATTTAATAGACGTTTTACAATAATATATAACAAAGAAAATGATGTATTTGTTGTAATATTGATAAAACAATGAAAAAGTTAAGCGCGATTGAAAAAAAAACAAAACAATTTTTCCCAATATCAGAATTTTTGTAATTGGTACTTAAATTTTGTAAAATGTTTCAAAATAACTCAATATTACTTTTTTACGAAAATACGACATTTCAACTTACCACCACTTCGCATCACTATTGGTAACACTGAAAATTTTGTCATTTGAAATATAACGTATAAATTTATCAATTAACATATTCATTTTTCTATGACATTCAAATAATCGTCAATATAAGTGTAAGAATAACCTAAATAAATTTGGTTATGCGTGTGGTGAGTATAATTTTGTTACACAGCCTTATTTTACTAATACATTGGAATATACGTATCCTTTTTACTTAAAAGTTTTTCCAGAGAACTTTAGTGAATCATGGACACCAAATGTCTTATGTAACAAGTGCAAAATTAGATTAATAATATGGATGTTAGGTGCAAAGTAAAAAAAAGTAGCTTCAGCAGCTTTTTCCATACAAACAATTAAAATCATTTATTTCTAATATTCTTAAAGTATTTATTGTCGAATTAGATTTGATATTATATAATTTTACTTTGAAATTTATTAATTTTAGCTTCGATGCGAAGCGGAGAAGGTATTAATTTTACTATGATGTGTTTTTTTTTTTTTT